AAGAGGGAGGCGGTGGATAATAGGACAGCAAGAGGATGGCTGTTTGCACGGTGGCAGTGAGGAAAGGGGCGGAGTAGTTTGGAGGTTTGATGGCTGCAGAAAACAGCGAGGGGCTGTAACAACATGACAGTTAAGCGGAAGGCCACGAACAGCAACGGTGGCAAAGAGGAGGGAAAGGAATGCGATGGTGGTGGCCGGAACTGCAGAAAAACAATCGGGTACAGTTGTTCTGGGAGATTACAACAAAAGAGGGATGTGGAGGAATTGGGGAAGGATAAATAAAAATACAGCCGTAGCACCGCTCGTTCCTTGGATACAGCCCTTGGAGAGAGAAACGGAGACCAGCAGCCGTCTCAAACACAAATATGCCAAAATTGCCCTAAAACACAACAAGAACAACATATATAGACCTGAGGTAACGATGAGTGGCCCCAATAGGGTGGGCAGCACTCCCACGTAAGAAAGAGGACCACTCGGCCCTCAATCTGTCTGGACCGAATCAGTTGCGATTCTGCGCCCACACCCCTATACACAGACACTCTCACGTCAATCTCTCGGGATTGGGCGAGCATCGACCTCATCCGTTGACATTTCTATCTCCTTGAAGGATGAAGTTTGGATGGGCGCATTAAAGGTAGCAGATTGTTGCAACCTCTCTGTAAGTCAATCATATGGGTATTATCATTCCAAACCACATCCTGATAGAATAGATATTCACCCTCTTTTGGCACAATCAAAACTGAAACTGCACATGGATGGTTATCCTAATGAACCAAACTTCAAGCCATTACATTTGTAATTAATTCTTCCACTCCCCGTACTCGTCTGAGTGTATCTAATAAACCAATATGTAAGCAAAAGTCAACTATGAGATAAAGTTTACAGCAGACTGGGTAACTCTCAATAGTAATCACTCAGAAGATACCTCTTTTTTCTCTGAATGGACATGGATCCCATTGTAGGATGCTCTTTCCCATAAAACTCCCAAGATAATTTCTAACGCAGTGATTCATCCAGCTTGTCTGATCATTTGTCAGTGGGTACGCTGAACTAACCTTGATAGCCAAATGACTAAATAATCTTCCAAAATCAGCACAAAAGTTTCTCACCTCTGATATGTTGGTCCTCCCTAGTAGGGGCAACTTAGAAAGTAGACTATACATCTGAAAAGTTTGAAATTTACTTATTTGGGGTTGTCATGTGTCTGGTGTTGGTTCCTCAAACTCATGACTATCTTGGACAATAAATTTTAATCATGCTTGAACAATATGCATTTATCGCTCATCAATTGAAAGTTGATACTCCTCCTTTGTGACCTCACTTCTTCAATGTCTAATGGGTCATTGTTTCTTCAAAAGCTCCCTACTAGTGTTTGGGCAATTTAATGTCCTGTGCCCAAAACCGCGACACTTAATGCTCTTCCTGACAGGACAAAATTTGTGAATGTTGGTTTGTTTCACTTGTTCTACACCCTAAATTAGTTTCTCCTTAGGTGGGGTCGACCTGGATGCTCAACTCGGTGTACTATTGTCGCTTGATCTTGGGATTAAATTGTGCCTGTAAGATGTGGCGATCAACAGTTGATGTTGCATCAAGAAGAAGTCCTATCTGTAACAAATTAGTAGGTACTTGTACCTCATCACCTTCTTCATTTTCTCCCAAGCAGTGATCTTGTCCCAACCTTCTCTCTTCCTCTCCCTCTTAAGATTCTCCCACAACAACACGATGCATTTCTTCAGCTTAATGACAGTGAACTTCACTCTTCTATCATTTGGTACCTCTTTGTATTTAAATATCCTCTCGACGATCTCAAGCCACTCAATGAGATCATTCAGATTCATTCTTCCCTCGAAATTTGACATATCCACTTTCACTCCTAAGTTTTTATATCCTCCAACAAGCACTTCCTCTCTTGGCCTCCTCTAATATTAAATCTCAAAGCATCGTGATTGATTCTACTCTTCATTGAAACCATCCCTACGAAAAGGATTCATATGTTCTTCTCGTTCACCTCCTTGGATCTCACTATCACGATCAATGATGACCTATCCACTAGTCCTTTCCTCAATTTTATCAAGTCATACTAGCACTCCACAGAATTACCATTGTATCTTTTCTAAGATAAACTTCTGATTGGTGTCCGACACTTGTCTCATCGGTGGAATGATTAAGGTTTGGGTGTGAGCATGTGGGAAAGGGTGTATGGGTGTGATGTCGGTTGAGCAGAAACAACATTTCAGTTAGGTAGGAGGGTCTAGGTAATCTTAGGATAGGAATAGGGTTAGGCTAGCTCAGATACCAAATGATAGCGGTGTTAACCCAAACAATAATAATCAAACAAATATTATTATTGGAAAAACAAATAGGTAGTTACACAAACTGAAGGTTGCAGGAAACAATAGAGAGGTTGGAATAGTGATGACAACAAAGCTAAAGGCTTGGAACAACAACAACGGCGAAGAGAAGAAAGGGGAATGCGATGGCGGTGGCTGAATTACATAAAAATAATGAGGAACGGTTGTTCTGGTTGGCTGCAACAAAAGAAAGATGTGTGGCAACGCAGCAGGAGAGATGCAGAAGAGTTGGGGAAGGATAAACACCCTTGGATACAACCTTTGAAGGGAGAAAATGAGTTGTTGGCGACTGTCTCGAACACACATATGCCAAAAGTGCCATAAAACATGACAAGAGCAACATAGATAGACTTAGGGTAATGAGGAGTTGCCCTAATAGGGTGGGAGACACTCTCATGTAAGAGAGAGGACCGGCTAGCCCTCAATCTATCTAGAACAAACAGGTCGAAATCGAATCTAACGTGATTCTACATCCCGCGTCCCTGTACGGGGACGCTGCCCCGTCAAACAGTAACTGCATTGTTTCATTTGACTCATCAAGCCATGCTATCAAAATGTCCCTGACAGTTGTAACGGACTTGACACCATTCACATCAGCCATTCAAACAACTCTCCATCAGCCTTTCTCACAAATTCTTCCTCAGTATTGTTATAGTACAATCGTCTTGTTTGTCCTCATAGCTTGGTTCTCCCCAATTAGCAAAGAAACAAAAATCATGATGTATTTCATTTACTTATTTCTTTTACAACTCATGTAATTTGATTAAAGATATCAACTACCATTCCTAAAGAATAACACTCATTACTTAAACTTGTAGAAGTTGTTCATTTTGATGTATGGGGGTCTTCCACAACCATTTCTCAAGAAGGATACAAATATTGTGTTATTTATTGATAGCAATTCTTGCTTTTCATGGATATTTCCTATGCATAGCAAATCGAAAACAGCACCAAAGTTTATTAACTTCTCTTTTACAATTGAAAACCAATTTCACACATTCATCAAATTTCTTCGATAAGATGGAGGAAGTGAATATAATAATCTCATGGTAAAAACTTTTCTAACCAATCATGGAATCTTGCATTAGTTTGTTGTAAATATACCCTAGTACAAAATGATATTGCAGAATGCAAACACGGCCATTTACTTGATACAACTTGCACTCTCTTTCATGAAGCTCATCAACCTCTTCCCATATGGGCTGCAGCTCTCCTCACTGCCGCATACCTCATTAAATATTTACCTAGTCCAACAACAAATTGAAGTCATTATATCAACTTCTTAAAAGAAGCTTCCCAACTAATCTCATTTAAAAGTGTTCAACTATTTTTATTTTCCATGGCTTCAATCTCAACCCCTCAACAACCTCCCTCCCTCCAGCTCCACCAAATGTGTATTCATCGGCTGCTTTTCACCTCACAAAGAATATGGCTGCTATCAACCATCTACGTGCAATGGATGGGTTGATGATGGAATATAAGACAGATGCAAGGCTTTATCAGAAGAAACCAGGTTGTTTGTTCATGATTGGTTGAGATATGGTCATCGGCTTAATATAGTTTGTGTAGTTGGGCAGGAGATTGAGCATATAAAGAAGCCTTCACAACCATTTGTAGTGAATATTTGAGGACTTGAAATTTCCAAATGGGTTAATTATCTCCACTTAATTGAACTTCGACAATGTTTTTAAGGTTAGATATCAAAACCTTAATAGAAGATGGTATAACAGCAGCACCCATTTTCAGAAGAGTAGAGTCATTGTTGGATTGTTGATCTGCCAAGGAGTTAGCTGAGTCGTCCATTGAAAAAAGAGACGAAAGAAGGAAAAAAATAAGGAGAAAACAGAATGGCTGAAGACTTTCACTGTGTGCTGAAGAAAATGTTGTTCCATTGGGAAGATAAGCTGTGACGCCATAAAAATGGAAGTCGGTAGGAAGAGATATCCCCAAGGGTTTGAAATCAAAGAAATGAAAAGCAGGGGAATGAAGGTGATTTAAGCTAGCTGATTTCAATATTCTTCACAACATATGAGTTATATTACAATGGATATATCGAGAGAGTAAAAGACAGTCCCTGTACATATTGCAGTGGTAATAGTTAATCAAAGTACGAAATGAATCCAGCCGTTTGAGATGGGTGGACTGGATTGAATTGCACGGCATAATGGCTGCAGCTGTTTCAGAGAGAGTGGTGTACCTGTACTGATCATAGGTAGCTTATTTGATGATATCAGGAGCTTATCAGCAAGTATATAAAATTTCAAAATATTCAAAGTATAATGTAAAGTTAAATCATTTATCTGAAAAATTTTGCTGGCGTTTGGTTGAATGTAAAACAAATGCTTTACACCCAAAATATTTCAAACTAAAAGACAAGTAAAGAAATAAAACTTCAAAAAAAAAAAAAACTTATTTCTGGCATATAGTTCTAACAAGCAGATCATGTAGTGTTAAGATCATATCACTTTTTTCTCGGTAGTGCACAATGGAGTCTTCATTGGTGATTCCAATTTAACGAAAATGAGATGAAAACGGGCAAAACTTCAAAATTAGAAGTTTAAAATTCTTAGAAACATAGATTGCTTAAATTAAATATTTCTCAATTTCTTCAATAAAAGGTAGAGTTTTAAAGGCTGGAATAATTACCGAGAACTCGTTCCAAACCAATTGTCTATTCATATACTCAAAGCTAACAGCCCGATTCATATTAGGGCTTCCATACACAAGTCTCGCTTTCAAAGTTCTTTCAATAAGCGTTCTATACCTGCAAGTAAAAGAAAGAACTAAGCTAATTGCACATTAAAGCTACAATTTCCTTAATTATGTCAGGAAGAGGTGCAAAGTCATATTGTAAGATTGTTTAACATGTAATACTTTAATAAAATGTTATTAGTTAAGAATTTGTAATCAAAATATTAAATTTAAGTTTTTTTTTTTTTTTTTGTTTCACAGTTTTTTGATGATGTGGTTGTGGCCTGGCTAATTAGGTTGCTCATGTCATGACCAAGAAGTTAAAAATACAAATTATAATACTATTATGTCTGTACAAAGCAAAGAAAAGTGTCTCAAACCCTTCCCATAGATGGGTACAGTAACGGTTTTACCTAGACCTGTTCTACTTGGGGCATTTAGATAAATACTGCAAAATTTTTATGTATTTATTTTTTATACTTATACCACTAAAATCTTTCATATCACATCAAAAATACTACTATTTTAACTTTTTAAAAGTGAAGTACACTTTTTCATGCAAAGGAAAAGTGCATGAGTAATGGTTCTGTAAGGGGGAAGAAGAAATTGGGACATCGAATGAACAAAGAAGAAGAAACGATGAATAGAGGAAGGGGGAGGAAATGAACAACTGAAGAAGAGGAAGCGAAGGGACGGAAGCTAGGGAGGCAATTTTGCTTTATAAATCGCGACAAAGTGAGTTTTACCTCCCTGCAGAGACGAGAGAAGAGGCGTCACGGCCTTAGTGGGACGAAGTGTCACCCGAGCAGAGAAGAGAAGGGAGGTCTCGACGTCGGTGTCCAGAGGGGAAAGATTCTACACCGTTGTCGTGCAGAGGAGGTGACGAAAGTAGCTCGTGCGGGAAAACCGAATTCAAGCCAGTGATGTCGTGCTCGAGAGCATTTAGGGCTTGTGCCTAGCCGACAACGAAGAAACTTGGGGAAGAGGGCAACGGCATGGAAGATCGAGCAAGGTTGAGAGACGAAGGAGGTGCGTGAGGAGAACCGAAGACTTGTGTGGGTTTTCAGTAGAAAAAGAAGCTCGCGGGGAAGAAGGCGATGAGCTAAGTTCATGTGGCTGATTTTTACTCAATAGAGTTATATAGGTAAAATATACAGCAATAACAACAACAACAACAACAAAGCCTTAATCCCACTACGTGGGATCGGCTACATGAATCATTTTTCTCCATTGCGTCCTATTTACTGTCATATTTTCATTTAGTTCTAATAAATTAAGATCACTTTTTATACAATACGCCCAAGTCTTCCTAGGTCTACCTTCGTCATAGAGCATTGCATGTCTCACCACCGTCTTATAAAATTTTCCTTTCAGTCTAAATGGTACTTTTCTATCACACAAAAGGCTTGAAGCATTCCTCCAATTCCACCAAACAACTTGAATTCTACTATTAACATTCCCGTCTACATCACCATCGCTTTGAATAACTGTCCCGAGATATCTAAATCGTTCACAACCACTCATCCACATGATCATCCTCATCTCGGCAACACTTAACTAAGTATTATACTTCTCTTTTAAAGGCCAACATTCAACGTCATAGAGCATTGCAGGTCTCACCACCCTCTTATAAAATTTTCCTTTCAGTCTAAGTGATACTTTTCTATCACACAAAAGGCTTGAAGCATTCCTCCAATTCCACCAAACAACTTGAATTCTACTATTAACATCACCATCTATATCACCATCGCTTTGAATAACTGACCCAAGAAATCTAGATCATTCACAGCTTTAATAATTTGATCACCCAAAGTTACAATTCCTTCAATAGAGCTACTACTACTAAAATTACATTTCATGTATTCAATTTTAGTTCTACTCAAATGAAGGCCTTTAGACTCCAATGTAGACCTCCATAATTCAAGTTTTTCCATGGTTTTTTCTCTCGTCTTATCCACGTCAAGGACATCAATAGCAAAAAGCATACACCAAGGCACATCCTCTTGTAACTGTCCAATAAGACCATCCATAACTAAAGCAAAAGGGTATGGGCTTAAAGCCGATCCCTTATGTGATCCAACAAAATTAGGAAAATATTTGGTCAATCCTCCTTCAGTTCGAACACAAGTAACAGCTCTAGTATACATATCTTTAATGATTTGAATATAAGTCATATCAACACCTTTCTTCTCAAGAACTCTCTAAAGGAAATCTCTTGGAAACTTATCGTAAGCTTTTTCTAAATAAAAATCAAATGTAGATTTTCCTTATTATCTCTGAACTTCTCCATCAAACCTCTCAATAAATCTATAGATTCCATAGCAGGCCTTACCGGCATAAATCCAAATTGATTATGAGAAATCTTTGTAATACGTTTTAACCTATGTTCAATTAGCCTCTCCCATAATTTGAAAGTATGACACATCAACTTAATCCCTCTATACTTTGCACACTCTTGTGCATCACCTTTATTCTTAAAAATAGGGACTAAAATACTCTTCCTCTACTCCTCAGGCATCTTTTTAGTTTTTAAAATAATATTAAAAAGTTTAGTAAGCCAAGAAACTCCCAAATCTCTTAAATATTTTCATACTTCAATTGAGACATGATCAGGTCCTACAGACTTTCTACCCTTGGTTTTCTTTAAAGCCTCAACTTTTTTTTTATTAAATCGACGGTAAAAATGAGACGTTTTATTATTATTAACAATATTAAGATCACTAAGGTCAATTGTATTTTCAGAAACTTCATTAAAAAGTTTATCAAAATAACTCACACACCGTTGTTGAACATCTTTTTCTAAGAAAAACACTTTTTTATTTTCATTTTTAATACACTTTACTTGAGTTAAATCTTTGTTTTTCTTTTCCCTTTATTTGACTAGTTCATAAACATATTTTTCACTCTCTTAGTATATAATCTATTATAAAGGTCATTAAAAGCAAAATTTTTAACGTCACAAATTATTCTTTTAAACTCTCTGCGGGTCGTTTGATATTTTTCTCAGTTTTCTGAACTTTTATATTTTAACAAATTTTTATAACATAAATTCTTATATTTTATCTTCTCTTGCACATTATTATTCCACCACCAACTATTTTTATTTATAAAAACTTTTCCTTTTGATTCTTCAAGTACATCTTTTGCTACTTGTTTAATAGCGTTTGTTACTTTATCTCACATAACATTTGCTTCATCATGAACATCACAAATTTTGAAATCTTTAATTTTACCCATAAAAATAATTTCATTTGTGTCATTTAGGTTCTCCAATCTGATTCTACGATGATGAGTCCTAATATTCTTTATTTTACAACTCTTCAACTTAAAATCTAGAACTAACAAACGATGTAAGATACTTAAATCCTCACTTCGAATGACCTTATAATTTTAACAATAGCGACGATCTCTTCTTCTCATAAAAAAATAGTCGATTTGTGTTTTATTAGATTCATTCTTATAAGTAAGAAGATGCTCATATCTTTTCTTGAATAAAGTATTAGTAACAACAAAATCATACGTTAAAGCAAAATCTAAAATAACTCTACATTCTTCATTAGTCACTCCAAAACCGTAGCCACCATGAATATTTCTGAAATCATCTATCACTCTACCGACATGTCCATTTAAATCTCCCACAATAAAAATTCATTCTTCAAGAGGTACCATTTGTATTAAGTCTTCTAAGTCATTCCAGAATTTATATTTAGACCCTATATCTAAACCTACTTGATGAGCATAAGCACTTATAATGTTAAAAATTTTAGTATCAATGATAATCTTAAGGGCTATAATTTTATCTCCAACTCTATTAATTTTTACAACATTATCTTTCAAGTTCTTATCTATAATTACACATACACAATTTCTAGTGCGACTCTTATAAGAATATCAAAGTTTAAAACCTAAGTTATCAATCTCCTTAGTCTGTTCTCCAACTCATTTAGTTTCTTGAATACATAATATATTAATCTTTCTATAAATTATATTAATTAATCTTTCTATAAATCATAATATCAACAAATTCCATTAATTTATGATTCAGAGTACATATATTACAAGATCCTATCATGACATTAGTTCCATTAGTTTCACAGACTAACTTATTTACCTGCATCCGTCCGTAATGTGGGACTCTTGCTTATTTGACGCTATACTTTGGCGCCGGTGTAGAGGCTCTTGCACACTTATCATTGTATTCAGGTTATACAGTGGGTCGCTTTTAGGGGACACTCTAGCACTTACACAATGATCAAAAGAATTCATGTCAAGATTTTTTTTACAAGTTTAGCGATGGTTATCAACTATCTAACGCAAACCTCCACTTTTCACATCTGGACTTGGGACCGGCAATGACAGTGTTGTGAACTAGAGAAGGCTGTAAATATTTCTTAAAGACTTTTGGTTAAATATTCAAATTTGAAGGGGGATAGCAGGAGAAGGTTGCAAACTAGAGAAGGGGAAGATTCGCATGAACAAATTTTGATTATGAGAAGCTTAAGTAATTAATTTAATTAGGACCTCTTTATAAAGTAAAATAATGGAAAGTTAAATGATGTAAATTTAATAGCTAATAATAACTAATTAAAATTTTGTAATATGAAAAAGCATGTTAGGTTTCCAATTTAGAAGAATCGACATCGGGGCAAAATCTTATCGAATTAAGCGTCCTCGAGATAAGTATTTGTACTTTTAAATTATAGTAATAATTTGTTTCTTCTTAAATATGTTTGCAGCTGATGATATTTGTGGATGTTTTATTTTGATTGAGTTATTCTTTTCTCTATTAGACATATCTTTGCGATTATTGTAGTTATTTACTTGTGCATTTTAGTGTTTGTTTTATAAAATAATTGAGTACGATGAATATATATGTTTATGTTGAATGTTTGTATGTGCATGACTAGCTATGATGAAGCATCCTTCAATGAGATTAGCGGCGTAAATAGAAAAAGATATTGATATTAATGTATTTTATTGATACAAATTTTTAGACTATGTCTCCTATGACAGTTGTATAGATAAAAAATGATATAGATATAATAATAATATAACCCCTTTAAATAACATGTCAAATGTCTATATTGATTCATAAATAAGCTTGATTGGCATTCATATTATTATTTCTTTTCTTTAAATTGTTGTAGTATAGAAGTATTAGTATTCACTGATTCATTTAGCTCACAGTTGTTTTAACAAACTTTTCGGGTTTAATTAAATTATTAAAAAACGAGCGATGGACAAGAAAATGTTTGTAGAATATGCGGCAACTATCAACAAGGTAATTATAAATTATACCATTTTAATTTAATTTTTAGTGGTTTTTTTATCTATTAAATTATGAGTTAATATAGAAAATTTAATTCACCCGTCCGACCGTTCGTTCCCGCCTTCGTTAATTTCAAGTCCTGTCGGGCTTTGACAAAAGTGGAATCAGAGCCTAAGGTTTAGGATTGAATAATGAAATAAATAGCCAATAAGGTAATAATTACAAGCAAATTTTAATAATAAAAATTAAGGTTAACTCAAAATAATAATTATTATCCATTTATGCATAATAATACAATCGAAATTATAGAAGGGAGTCCCACAGAAAATTTATGAATAATTAGCATTAAATTACTTAATAGGATGTGAAGTAAGATTCATTGTTCTTAAATTTCGAGAACAATGTTTTTTGCAAATGGGAAAGATTGTAACAATTTTATATGGGGGAAGAAGAAATAGGAAAAACGAAGGAACAGAAAAGAAGAAACTAGTTGTGATGGAAGAAGAAACGATGAATCAGGAAACGGAGAGGAAAGAACAACTGCAGAAGAGGAAACAAATGGAAGGAAGCTAGGGAGGCGTTTTCGCTTTATAAAACATGAAAGGGTGAGTTTTACCTACCTGCAAATATGAGAGAAGAGTTGTCAAGACCTCGAGCGGAACGAAGGGTCGTCGAGCAAAAAAGAGGCGGGAGGTCTCGACGTTGGTGTTGAGTGGGGGAAGAGTCGACACCGCTGTTGTGCAAAGGAGGTGACGGGTTAAGCTCGTGCGGGAGGAAGCCGAAGTCGAGCCAGTGATGTCGTGCGCGAGAGCATTTAGGGCTTTTGCCTAGCCGACAACGAGGAAACTTGGGGAAAAGGGTAATGGCGTGGAAGATCGAGCGAGAAGGAGAGAGGAAGGAGGCGCGTGAGAAGAACCGAAGTCTTATGTGGGGCTCGCGGGGAAGAAAGAAGCGTGCGTTGAGTTCGCATGGCTGATTTTTTACTCGATAGAGTTATATAGGTAAAATATGATTTAAATGATATATATATATATACATTGTATAGTAAATAGAAAAAAATTCTTAAAGACTTTTGGTTAAATATTCAGATTTGAAGGGGATAGAAAGAGGTGAAGGGTGCGAACTAGAGAAGAGGAAGATTCGCCTAAGCAATCTTCGATAAGGAAAAGTTTAAGAAATAAATTTAATTAGAACATCTTTATGAAGTAATAATGAAAATTTAATATTTAAATGATGTAGATTTAATAGCTAATTATAACAAATTAAAATTTGTAATATGAATGCGCATGTTAGGTTTCCACTTTAAAAGAGTAGACGTGAGGTCAAAATTATAACGAATTAAGCGCTTCGAGATGAGTACTTGTACTTTTAAATTATAGTAATAATTTGTTTCTTCAATTATGTTTCTCAAATATGTTTACAGTTAATGATATTTGTGGATGTTTTATTCTGATTGAACCATTTTTTTCTTTACTAGTCATATCGTTGTGAATGTTGTAGTTATTTACTCTGCATTTTAGTATATGTTTTATAAAGTATGATTGCATGGGATGAATACATATATTTATGTTGAATGTTTGTATGTTCGTGACTGACTATGATGGAGCACCCCTTGATGAAACTAGTGGGGAAACACTAATGTATCCGTACACATAAATGGAAAAGGATATTGATATTGATGTGTCTTAATTGATACAAATTTTTAGACAGTATTTCATGTGACGATGTATAGATTTAAAATGATAATTATATAAACTCATTTGAATAGCATGTCAAATGTTTATGTTAATTCATAAAGAAGCTTAACTGGTATGCATATTGTCTTTCTTTTCCTTGTATTGTTGTAATTTACAAGTATGAGTATTCACTCACTCGTTTAGCTCACAGTTATTTTAACTGACTTTTTTTATTTAATTAAATTATTAAGAAATGATCGATAGATGAGAAAATATTTGTAGAAGATGCAAACAACCATTAACGAGATAATTATAAATTATAGTGTTTTAATTTAATTTTTAATGGTTCTTTTATTTATTAAATTGTGAGTTAATATAAAAAATTTAATCCACCCGTCCGACCGTTCGTTCCTGTTTAATTAATTCCAAGTCTTAGGTCAGGCCGTGGCAACATGTATGCAAAAATTGAAATTTAGGTGTTATATATATGCAAATATATAAAAATTTAGAAAAAATGTATGTAAATCTTCCCTATATTTAACTATAACAATGCATTCAACTTAGACTAAAATACAAAAAGTTATCCAAGACATGCGAAGTTACCTTCCAGAGTACATGAATAGTAATAAATTACTTAAAGCTGCAGCTTTGTAAATGCCTTCGATACGTTGTATTAAAGCCCATATCCGTCGTGCCAATGGCCTCTGCGAATAATAGTACAATTATTAATCTGCATATCTAAAAAGTTGCTCAGCTCTAGATAATGCCGTGACAATTAGAAAATTCATTCCATCTTGTCGAATGTAGATTACCTGCTCAGAGTCACCCCATCGTCTAAAAGCAGAGAATGACTGTAAACGAGCCCATATATACTGCCCACCAACACTAGTAAGGCAGTACCATAATTTTTGTGAGACAGAAAGCCCAGGTCCTTCCAGTCCTGTTCTCACTACATATGCAGAATTTAAGAGTTGAATCCCCAATCTAGCATGTTAAAATAAGACACAAAATAAAACAGATAAATTTGCAAAAAGCTATTTATATGGGCATATGAAACATAAAGAATTGAAGGTGGTTATATTAAAAATTTTCTAAATCATGTGAACTTTTTTTTTCTTTTAAAAAAAAAAAGTTACTCTTTCCGAGAACCTGACTGATTCCAATTACACGAGAAGTAAAATATTACACAGAGTTTCTCAGTTTTGATCATAAGCTATAGGGATATATTTCCTTGGCCATATAAGTTGGCTAGAATACATACATCAAAAGGATAAAAATATATATATAAAATAAAGCATAAATTTCTAATGTGCCCAAGAAAATGTTGAATATTTTATAGTTAACAAATAAGTATATAATTGCTGTATGAGTTGGCTTCTAAATGACAAAAATATATTAAACATGAACATAAAGCATAATTTCTATACTTGCCCATTAAAATTGTGCCTATTGAGCGCATTTAATACATAAGAATAATACTGTTGTAGGCTGCAGTTATAGACAAGCATATTGGGGAAAATGGCTAACTGGTATTACCATATTGAGATGAAGGACCAACCAAGATTTCGCGGAACTAAGATATTGAAAACCACACTCAACATGAATAAATAAATAATGAGGATTTATAACGCTGATTCAAAGTAGTTGAGATAACGCTAATGATGATGGAAATAATGAAAATTAAGAATCAGCCAAAAACCATTAAATTTCACAGGATTTAATAAATATTGAGTTACAGGCATGTTGGTTTTATTCTACGCCTTAATTAAAGGCTGCATCATATTGTCATTCCATAAAAAGAGCATAATTGAAAGATATATTCATCTAAGGATCCAAGGACAAATTGAGGCATAATTGAAAGATATATTCAGCCCGTTCACCAGAGAACAAATTGAGTCACAACAAAAAAAAGGCTTAGTAAAAGTTCTAGTTCTGAACAAACATAACAATCCTCTCTCGAACAACCTATCAGCCTATTAGCATACTAAAGTATCTTATCCCATGCTTTTAGTGTCCAAAACAATAAATTAAAGCTTTGAATGGTTGACTTCATAGCCTCAGATCATAAAATGGAAAACGACAACATCTTCAGAAATAACAACTCATGTATTAGTCACTTTGTAGTTCAAACAATTGATGATTCATTCTCACCAATAATAGGAACTAGATCAGTCAAATTCACAAAAAATTTTCAACTTGATTACCTCATAAATGATCCTCACGGATCCTCATGGTAAAAATCTTATAGCTTGCACATAGATATTCAAGATCAAATGTAAATAAGATGAAAGTATAGAAATATTCAAAGTCAGATTTATTGTCAAGAGCTTCACGCAGTCATACAAGAGTGACTATCAGAAAACCTTTGCGCCTATTGCCAACTTAACATGATTTAAGTTTTACTCTCTTGCAGTGAATCAAGCTTGACATTTATACCAACTTGATGTTAAAATTGTCTTCTTGAATGTTAACCTTGACGAAGAAGTCTAGATGACAATCCCTCCGAGCTTGAAAAATAGGACAAACAAAATGTTGGTTTGTCTATAAAAAAAATCTTATATGACTTGACGCAATCTTTTCATGCTTGGTATGATGGTAAAAAAGTGATTATAAAAAAATATCATCAGTGTCAAGCTGATCATATATTGTTTGGTAGATCCAATTCTAGAGGCAAAATTCTTATTCTCATAATATATGTAAATGATATTATTTTGACAAGTGATGATTCAGAGGAAACTATCAAGCTAAAAAAAATGCTTGCAATAGAATTTATGATCAAAGACCTCGGGAATCTCTGATATTTTTTGAGAACGGAAGTGGTTCGGTCTATCAAGAGAATTGTCATATCCCAAAGGAAGCACACATCTCAGACTTATTAAGTTAAACTGTATGTTTGGGTGTAAAACTGCTGACACACTCACGAATTCCAACAAAATGCTGAATAAAAGTGAAAAAAACAATTCAGTTGACAAAATAGGATATCAAAGACTTTATAGGCAAACTACCTTACATATCACACAAAAGATTCGATATTGCATACTCAGTAAGTGTAGTGAGCCGGCACATGAATAATCCAAATGAGGATCATCTGGAAGTAGTGAAAAGAATCCTAAGATACTTGAAGATGACCCTTGGGTATGATTTGCTCTTCAAAAGAACTGAAAACTGTGAGATTGACATTTAAATGGATGTTAGATGAGCGAAAGAGGTAGCTGATAGGAAATCAACCATTGAAAATTGTTCATACGTCCAGGAAAATCTCCTCACGTGGAGAAGCAAAAAAGTAAGATGATGTCTATCGAAGTAATACAAAATTTGAATATCATGCTCTTGCACTAAAAATATGTGAGGGAATGTGGATTCAAAGACTATTAAGGAAATTTAAGGTTGAGCCAAAAGACACAATTAAGATGTTCAGTAATAGCCAAGCAGTTATTAGTATAGTCAAATATCTCATGCATCATAATAGGACAAAACAGCTTGAGATTAATGGCACTTCAACTTAGAAAATATTAACAATAGAATTGTTCAGCTCAACTATGTTCTCACACAACATTAGCTTGTTGATATTCTCACCAAATAACTGTCAAAAGTCTGTCATGATGAATTGAAGTTCAAACTTGATTTTTATAATATATAAAACTCAGCTTGAGGTGGTGTAGGAAAGTGTCAATCGATGCACTTATTTAGAAAGAAATTTATTTCCTTCTCTCAAAATATATTTCACGAATTGTATTTACATTTATTTATATTTCCTATTTTTCTATTCTTCATTATTTGCAGGGACTCTTATTTTGTTTCTTGTCATTATTATATATATGTAGAAAACTGTAATGCAATAATGTGAGCGAGACAATAAAATTATTTCTAGAATTCTACATCTAGTATTCACTGCCTCTACTTGCCATTGACCACCTACACCTACTAAACACAACTCAGCATGCATCCAAATATTTGAATTTTTTTTCTATAAAGATCCAATAAATTAATTATTTAATTGATAAATACTAGGATTAAAGTTGTTATTAGATATATTATTATAGAAAATGTCTGATTAATTGTGTCGTCAAGAGTGAATTTATTTTAAAAATAATAATAACTCAAACAAAATATAGCTATTATTTCTATTTATGTGAATAATACATTTTTTGTAGAAAATTAAAAAAATAAATAAGTTAAATCAAGTTAATGTAATTTCAATTGAACCGAATCAAAGGGGGATAGTTGCAGCCATTTTTAAAGAGGTGAAAGGTAAGTGTAAGAGGACCATGACGGAAGACAAAAAAGGGGAGAAGACAGAAATCAAGAAAAAAGAGAATAACATAGTGTAGGGTAAGGCGTAAGAGATCAAGGAAAAGGTGAGTGTGTACAGGCCCCATGCTTCGATTTCAACATCAATTAAGGCAATTTGAGAAAGAAGAGTAAATAAAAATGGTTGAGAAAGAATTAGTTGGGATTTTGCAAGGATTTTTTTCCCTCTTCTTTTTCCTTTGATTGGAAAAGCAGACTCGGTCATTTTATTGTATTTCTTGTGTAGAAGGTGAACAAGATTTAGAAGGAATGCAAGTTGAGTTTTCAAGAGAAAATTTATAAAATTTATGCATGGACGCAATCATAAATATTTGTTAAAAATACATATTTTTAGAGGATTTGTGAGTTATTATGAAAATTTATTTCTTCTTTTCCTCTCATCTTTCCTCCCAAAGCAAGCTAAATCTAAAACCAATGAGAAGAAAATTTCATTTCAATTTGCATGCAATCCCAAAATCAATGTAAAATCCTAGGTTTCTCTAATTAATGCTTAGAATGAAATTAGCCCTACTTGGTATTTAATTATAGGTTTTCACATTATGCATGTTAACTTTCAAGGATTCTTTCAAAAGTTTATGGATTATAATCAAAAGAATCCTCATTAAAAGTTATAGTTATAATAAAGCTATAAATTGGAGAGGTTTAATATAAAATATACTTCAATATATAAACTATGATGAATCTATAAAAGATAGATATGGTTAGATACATGTGTTCAAGTTCAATCAGTCATATGGTCATGAATAGCATGGGGAATAGAAAAGGTTAATATTTGTATGTCGCCACCTTTTCTATTAATCAAACCAAAGTAAAATTTTAAGTGTACAATCGCCATGTCAAGTTTTGAACCATAACTCTCTTAAAGGTTCTTGATTCTATTGCACAGAGTACTCAACATATTTAAAAATATAACGTAGGTTAATATTTAACTATGGATTAAAGTACATTTGGAATTATATGCATGAAGTCATACATGCAAAGCAGTAAGGTTAATTTTAAATAAGTAACATATTTTAATAAAATAAATTGTTGAATGTCAGAATAATGTGAAAGGGGTTATGAAAAATCCTTATATGAATCATAGAATAAACAAGGCAATAAAAAAGAATAATATGATACGAAAGATATAACTCCTGATATTTCCAATTAATCAATTCATATTAATTATTTTGGAGATAAACAAAACAACATAAAATAAGAAATGAATTAATAGAATCCAAGGGAATAAAAATAAAATATGAAAGGAAGTAACTCCTAATCTAAAGAAATAATTTATTCCTCATAACTTCTCACAGAGAAAAAATTATTTCCTAATATAACTTCTAAAACTTCTCCTCAAGTTAAAGCATGGTTGAAAACAATGTTCAACTTGAATCTGAAAGAAACAATGGGCGAAGATAGAACTTGAAGTCTTTGTCTCGTACTGCAGTTGTCTTTAACTGCAGTTCTTGCAATGTCTATAGGTAGATGAAAAACTTCTACAAGTAATGCTACAAATGAAATTGCAGGGAAGTAGACAACTGTGATTGTTTTTTATTGTTGTTCCTGCAGTGTCTGTAGGTAGACGAAAAGCTCATATAGGTAATGTTGCAAGAGAGTTTGCAGAAAGGTTAACAACGAATAAAAAAAGCTGCAAGG